AGTCAAGTCATCAGTCAGGCGTGACTAATGTGGACTCCTTAGTGAAGATTGCGTTTGCCTCAGTTTGAAGATAAATATAACATTAATGACTACCTGTCTACGAAATCATGTCGTATCCATTGGTTGTTTAAAAGACAGACCTTTCAAGTTAGATCTTTGATTTGATGTAATGTCCTTCTGATTGCGTAATCCTTTTGCTCACTCGCAATTTTATCTGATTAAAATGGCTGAACATTGCAAGTGAATATTACAATTGATTATAGATAATGAAGCCATTCCTTTTTTCTTTATATAGCTGAATAAATTTTATGCCTCTACTACATAACTTGTACTCTGTTTAAATGACAATTATTACATACAAACTAATTTGTAAACACATTCTATCTATCTATCTATCTATCTATCTATCTATCTATCTATCTATGAAGCACAGAACAAAACTTCCTCAAAAAGTCCCCAAACTTTATATGAGTACCTACTGGGGGTAAATTAACGTGAAAGAATAGTTTATCATTAATAAATGAGTACCCCAACCCTTTTCTATTACGCAGAAAGATCTTTCAGGAAAAAAAAATAGTGTTACTAATTGAAGGTGCACCTAGGAGAGGATGCCAACTCAAAAATTGTTTGGACAATGTCAAATAATGAACAAGTATGACTATACCAGAATTGCCGTCCTGGGTATGACGATAAACTACATCCGCGTCCTGGGTAAGACGATAGACTACGTCCAGCAGCAAGAGGAGGTTTTGAGGAGTGTAAAAGCACCTCTTAATCGCTGGTGTTTGCAGTTTCACCCTGACCCGAGGTGGTAGTACTTCTTAGGGTCCCAGCTATGGGCAAATAGTTAACACCCAAACTTGTGTAAAAATAGGTTTTAATACGAGAAATACTTTGTAATAAAAAATTATTACCAACAATAATTTTAAAGGAAAAATTATTATCAGCAATACTTTAAAAAAATACCAGCAATACAAACAGCTATACATTCTTTGAAAAATATAACCAGCTATATATTTCTTCAAGGAAAAATATTCCCAGAAATAGATTTTTAAAGAAAAATATATTACCAATAAAAATTTAGTCAGCATTAAATAACCCATTGAGGTGTTGATATTCCATAAAACAAAACAAACTAAACGAAATACCATGGCTGCCGTTGATAGACCGTTGTGAGAAAGATTCAGTGTGTCTTCTGCATTCGGATCTACTCTACGATTACAAAACTCAAGAGAATGATGATGATGATCATTATCATCATCACTGTTACTAACCGAGCTGTGTAAGACGATAATATAACGTGCATAAGAAAATTTATATCTATATCCTTTTAAAAAGCGACTTCAAAGTGTTATGGGAACTTACCCATAATAATAATGGACCATTCCTGACATTATAAATACTGTGCCTCTCAAGAGGTATGAGGAGATAGTAAGACGAGGAAAGATAATTGAGAGCATATTGTAAGGACATTGGAATAGTGATACTTGTCGAGACAACGTAGTTCATTCAAACCAAAATCTGATAGTCATTACTAATACTTCTACTTCTTTTGTATTATATTTCTGTTGTAATATATATTTGTATTCCATACCTGTGTTCGTGTTATTCTTTCATTGGTTCTAACCTTGGACAATCACCGTGGTACAAGGAACTTGGCTCATAACACAAGGAATATTTTTCTTCCCTGGAAGGAATGAAATCTCTTTTGTTATTCATTTACGCTACAAATTTCCCTTACACAGTCAATATACCTCGAGTCTCGGAAAATGAATCTTAATGCATGTGAATAGTGCAATATAACATTAACTGGAAGCATTGTAATAAAAGATATTTTATTTCAGTATACAATAATTAATTAACACTTAGTTACCGAGGACTAATTTCAGGAATATCCAGAACAATTATCAGTCACAATTTAACTGATACTCGCTCAGGGAGGACCTGTGCCTTTAGCGACTATTCGTACTTAAACTCAACACAGACCTCAAATGGAATTCAGTACTTACTGTTAAATATAACGTAGTTGAAATAAAATTAATAAATGAATTTTTTTGATGGTTAGGTAAGGAACGTTCCATAATAGTTTCAGACTATTATTTTTTAGTAGCAGTGTATTTGGCTCAGACCTGGGGCTGACCTTTGAGGTCAGATGGTAGACAAAATAGAGAAGTCGATTTTGATTGGCTTAGCCTAAAGTGGTTATGTTAGATTTAGAAAGTGTTCACGACGAGTAAGTTTTTACATGTCGAAGAGGTCAGACGTGGTTATTTCGTGCCCTGGGTAACTTGCTCCCCAGGGGTGGAGGTGATAGAGTAACCTCACAGGCTAGTTAAAATTATACACGTCGACGTGTTAATAAAATAGATAAGTTTAAAAATTCCTTTTGCTGAAGTTCTCATTTGAATTCCGAACCAAAAATTAACGATCACCCGGAAAAGAGAAGAAAGAAAAGAGAGAGAGAAAAACAACATTATTATGATCGCCGTCTCCCCAAGACTAACCCCAGCACAAAGGGGATATGCGACAATTACGATCAATCGCTGAAAAAATAATCGGCTTCCTGTAGCGCTTCAGAAAGTACCTGATACCTACTGATATCCCCTATGATCACAAGAGGCAGATTAGTCCGAAAATAAAGTAATTTTGCCATATATGGGCAGAAGTTCCCAATGTTCCCTTTCCAAGCTCTACAGAGCTCAGAATCGTCTCGGCGTCCTTGTGGGTGACAAATTATTTTCAACGCTGCAGGTCCTTCAAATAGATAAAACATGGCAAGCCTTTTGCTACGGTGTCGCTTATTTCCAAGTGAAGTTTTTCAGAGGAAATACATTCCATAGTTTCACTAATTTTAACTTCCACAGCTAAGACCCACCATACTAGGCATATTGTAAAGAATCACGTCCATTTTCTTCGTATTCTACTCAAGTAGCTTCTTCCCACGAAACGAGGCTTTGTGGAACCAACTACCAAGAGGATGCGTCCCTGATCAGTACAATTTTAAACTGTTCAAGTCTAGGGTTGAACGCTATCTTCCATGCATATTCACATGTGTACCTCTTATACTGTAAACTTCTACCTCTAGTGGCTCTCGGGCTTCTACAGAGTGAAAATCACATATAGCTTCCAATAAGTGTGGCTGGTTCTACACAAGCCTTCACCAGTCTAAACAAATATTTTGTATGGATAGTCTGCAGTTCAGTTCTGTGTTCCTTCTTTTCTATTCCACCTGAACAATAAGTCCACTGGCGAGAGAATTAAGGCAACGGGGACAGGTACAGGATTAAAAACTGAACTGAAAGACACACATACGTCAAAAACGACGGGACAGCACATCTATCTATCTATCTATATATAATCGAATCGACTCTCCCGTCGAGATTCGACATATGAGGGTCAAGCATATCAGTTTCCAGGAAATCGACAGCCCGACACCGGCACATGAGATTTGATTATAGTGGTGAAGGCCTCGTGCAGGACCATCCACGCTTTTTGAAGGGACGAATACAGAGACCTGGTGCATCGAATGCCACAAGGTTCCCAAACGACCCTCCGCAGGTTTTGAATTCAGAGTTGTCCTTCTCCTAGACCAGTTGCCATCCAAGGCTATAGAACCCAGTCTGTCCTGCTATTTTACCCATAGCTGGAGGGAGAGGAAGAGGATTCATACCTTTCCTAAGGGTATTAGCACGTAAGTGAACGTAATGGATTCGACTGAATTGAATATATATATATATATATATATATATATATATATATATATATATATATATATATATATATATATATATATCACACATTACCAACTGTCTCCTTGTATATATGCCGAGTTCAAATTCCAGATGAATCCATTACATTCACTTACAGGCTAATATACCCTTGGGAAAGGTAGGTATCCTCGTCTCCCCCCACACACCAAACTATGGGTAAATAGAAAGGCAGACCGGGTTCTGTAACCTTGGATGGCAACTGGTTTACCGCAGAAAGAAATGGGAACCTACTGTTGCTCTAAGTAAATGCTATTCAGCAATGTATTTCCGAGAATCAACGCTTGTCTGCTCTTTTGTCATTGGTCGGTACACTGGAACGATGACTTCTTATCTGACTTAATTTTCCTGCTTTACTCAAGCCAAGGTAAAAGCAAACATCGCAAGTGATGTCATATGATCTGGAAGTTCTACATTAAGAACGTTACAAGTATTTCTTTTAGAGTTTTCCTTTGCAATCCAAGAGCTCTCGTAAGCAACCTTCCTACTCTTTTAAGAACCTCCCCCATCAAACCTCACGTCATTTATGATGGCTTCTCACCCGTCTAGGTGTTCTAAATTGGATCTTGAAACCTGAATTCAATTTCTTAGGTACCAGGACTACATAGCAGATAATCTCTGTATCCTTGATTGGGTTGAATAGATCTACATGCCGTACAAGTCCCCTTTGTACTACGATGTGCTTCCTCAGTCCAGATGATTACCTGCAGACCTTGTAAACAACACAGGTATTGTCAATAGTACGACGTGATAGGTTGGCATAGTTGGCTTGCTTCTGAGACTTATGATGACTTTTCATATTGTTTAGTTAACCTGGCCTTGACGACAGCTGGCGCTCATACACATCACATCTCCAAGACTGCATATTTGTTGACAAATCTGAGTGGGTGTCTCTTTGAGGATCACCCTTGATCTGGGTATGCTTAGGACAATCATTCGATAATAATACAATAATGTGTCGCCATTCCATCTGATTTAAAGTCAGTTCTTACATAGATACATGCGTGCACATACACACAGACACAGACACACACACAGACACACACACACACACACACACACACACATATATATATATATATATATATATATATATATATATATATATATATATATATTTATAGGAGAGAGAGAAATGACATTAAAGCAAAATATAATATACAGCACAGAAAGTGTCTACCTTATGAGTGATTAGTGCATGAAACCAATAGAGTAATGAATAATAATATATTATTAGGATAGATAGATAGATAGATAGATAGATAGATAGATAGATATGAATAGACTAGGATAGATAGATAGATAGATAGATAGATAGATAGATAGATAGATAGATATGAATAGACTGAGATAGATAGATATGAGCAGACAGAGATACATAGATAGATAATGGACAGATTGAGATAGAAATATATATATATATATATATATATATATATATATATATATATATATATATATATATAGATAGATAGATAGATAGATAGATAGATATGAACAGACTAGGATAGATAGATAGATAGATAGATAGATAGATAGATATGAACAAACTAGGATAGATAGATAGATAGATATGAATAGAGTTAGATAGATATGAACAGACAGAGATAGATAATGAACAGATTGAGATAGATAGAAAGATATATATATATATATATATATATATATATGAACAGAGATCGATAAATAGATATGAACAGACTGAGATAGATAGATAGATAGATAGATAGATAGATAAATAGATAGATAGATGGAATAGACTGAGAGAGATAGATATGAACAGACTGAGATAGATAGATAGATAGATATGAACAGACTGAGATCGATAAATAGATAAACAGACTGATATATATATATATATATATATATATATATATATATATATATATATATATATATAGATAGATAGATAGATACATTGAATATCGTGAAGAAGTCCAAATGTAAATGAAAACACACTTGTGAAACCCCCGCTAAATATAAACCGACTTATAACGATCAGGCAGCTAAGAAAATCCAATGTTTATATACATCTGATAAATCCAGTCAGTGCAGTCATTGTGGAGCGAGTTTTGAAAGAGAATTCCATTCCCCTGCCCGTTTGCAGCGAATGGCGTTAATTTCATTTCCGTTTCTGTTGATCCAACCTCCTGCACTTCCCCTTTTCTCATAATTATTTCACATTTCAACCCTGGCCAGCGACCACTCCATTAAACCTTACTGGAACAAACGAAACATAAAAAGAAATGGTATTACTTAATGGCTTTGGGGTTGGCCGGCAATCCATTGATTGTAACGTGGCCACAGTTCTATTGCCGTCACACCAACTGGATACAGTTAAAGGAGATTTGGGTTGAATAACGAACGTATTGAGATGCAAATGATGGTCTAAAACCGTTGAAAATGCGTAGAGGTGGTTTGTATTTGAAAACTTGATTTGGCGCCAAGTGCAGAGAACGCCGGAAAATCCAAGCGACTGATATGGTAACGATGGTTAAAATCTGGCTGAGAATTTTCTGGCTCATTAGATGTTCCTTTGACTAAGTAATGATTGAATAATTTGGACTCGTGGCAAGTCTGCTTTATTGCAACGACCGTTTCGCTTTTTGTTGTCTGAGGTGAATTCAATCGACATATACGTCTCTTTGATCTTAAATAATATGAGATGAAGATTCGTACCATCTGATTACAAAGGTTTCAACTTTGATTATCTAAGGATTATGCTATCAGATTAAAAAAAAAAAAGAAAAAAAGATAGATTTTGTCTCCAAGTAATAATTGCACTATTTTTTTTTTAAATGTCTGGAGCTTATTTCTTCACAAAATCCGAAGAATCTATAATATTATATATTATTGATCCTGTCCTGACATCTCGGTTTTTACCACATTTCCATATCCGTAATAGGTCGAGAACACTAGAATCACGCAGAAGTTTAAATATCTGGGAAGCGTCTTAAGAGAAGACGGTAAGTGCGACACTGATATCCGTAGACGTATTGCGATGGCTAAGGACACATTCCAAAATCTGAGCAGTGTATTACGAGACAGCAGAATTTCTTTGGTAACAAAGAAAAAAATACCGAACTGTTACTGTTCTTCTTTGGGAATGTTGGACGATTTCCTCAAAGATGAAGAAGAGACTCGAGGCGAAAGAGATGTGGTTCTACAGAAGGATGCTAAGGATATCATGGATGGAGTGGGTGAGCAACGATGCGGGTGTTAGATAGGTTACAAACAAGGAGAAGCTTTATACTTAACATCAGAAAGAGGCAGCTGAAGTTTCTGGTACATATAATGAGGAAAGGGAGCCTGGAGAATCTGATACTCACGGGTCAAATAGAAGGAAATAGAGACAAGGGAAAGCAGCGCGTGAGATACCTGACGAGATAGAGTAAGTGGATGACACAACGTGGTCTGGGGGAGGAAGCAGAGGGAAGGAGCTTGCTGAGAGCTGCAAGGGATAGAGGGAGGTGGAGAGCCATGATCGCCTACGCTCTGAAAGGACATGGCACATAAAATGAAAAGAATATATTTCCTTTGACTTTTCTGTAAATATTTACACGGCAATTGTTCTGATGAACTTTCCTCGTTGATACCTCGACTTCAGGAATTAAAACTTGGTAGGAAGCTCTCATAATTGAAATCGCTAGATTTAATCATGTTGTATTCTAGTAGTTTCATGTCTCACAATTTTCCTCAGTGGAATTCTCTTTTGACTCCTTGCTTTGCTGTCAACTACGAACCCCAAATACTTATACGCAATGTTAATCGTAATTTTCTGTTTGCTTGAATCCTGTTCTTTTTATTGTTTTCCTCAATAAGAGGAGAAAGGACAATTTCACCCTGAGTAATTCATTACGTCTTAGCAGCTTCATCGCCTTGTTTGGAAAAAAAAAAATTAAAAACAATTATCTAACCAAAAATCATTACAGGTGATATTCTTTAAACTCTATCCATTATATGAATAATTAAACAATGGATTAATGGATAGAGGCCCGGATTGAGGAATCGGGGAGCCGAGTTCGAATCCCAGTCGAATCCATTACATTTACTTAGGTGCTAATTCCCTTGGGAAAGGTGTGAATCCTCTTCTTCTACACCTCCCCCCCCCGCCCAGTGATGGGTTAATAGTAGAACAGACCGGGTTCTATAGCCTTGGATGGCAATTGGTCTACCATAGAAAGAAATGGCAACGTACTACGGGAGAAAAATCTGCCTCGTCAGTCATGTATCGAAAGATACATAATCACCTAAGCGTGTATCACGCATGGCACATTACCGACTGATTTCCATATTAATGTTATTTTCAGTGCATTTGTGTTATATAAAAAAAAATTACCTAGTCGCTGATGAGCTTTCCACTTTGGTACCTAGATTTTATGAATTTAAGCACTGCCCTACTGGATTGGAGGCACGGTAGAGCAATGGATATCATCTCGGTTTGAGGAATCGGAGAGTCGAATTCGAATTCTAGTCGGATCCGTTACATTCACTTACGTGAAAGGTATGAATCCTCTTCTTTTCCCCTCATCTATGGCCAAATAGGGCAGACTGAATCCTATAGCCTTGGGTGGCAACCGGCCTAGGAGAAAGTAACACTGAATTCAAAACTGTATGTAGACCTGGCGTAACACATACTTTACAGCTAAAAATTCGGAGTTGGAGCATTTGATTTCAGCCTCGTTCTGGTAGCTCCAGCGACGACACTTCTGCCAAACTGTTATGGGCTTATTGTTCTTTTGAATTCATCAGCGACGTGGAGAACGGAAACATGTTGCAACATCTTGCCCTTCATACCATCCTTCACAGCCTTTGATCCTACCTTACAGATCGGTGGGATCAAATCCATGGTCATATCTATCTAAACAACATATTTTACGTTACTTTTATCAGTCGATTCGAAGAAATTTTCTTTTTTAAACCAATTTTTCGGATATTGTGGATGACATTTTTTTCAGTATAATTATCTATATATTTTATGGTTACACTTTCTTTTGGTTACACTTTCTTTATTCAATCTTTAAAAAAAAATTCTCATTACTTTTTCTTTTGCTTGCTTAATAAATATTTTTCTTATATTTTTCTTATATTTTTCTTATATTTTCTATTTCTGAACTTTTTCAAGTCGAATGCACCCTTCCAGTATTCTTTCTTTCTTTCATTTTTTCTTTCTTTCTTTCTTTCTTTCTTTCTTTCTTTCTTTCTTTCTTTCTCCTTTCATATCTGTTATATGTACTGTTTACTTTTTTCTTTTCTTCTTTATTTGTTCTGCGTTATCATTGCCAGTCATTGTCTTTGTACTTTTAAAATTATTCATTTATTTATTAGTCTCTTTCCTTTCTTATTCTATTCTCTTTTCTTTCCACTATTATCGTTCCCATTCTCTTCTAACGTTCTTTTTCATCTTTTTTTTATTTAACTTTCTTTTTCTTTAACTTCCGTTTTGCTTCTTTACGTTTTATCCATTATTTCTTTTACTGCTTTTGAACTTTTCTTTCCTGTTTAATTCTTTTAGACATTTTTTTTCCTTTCTTTCTTTTTTTTTTCCTTTCTTTCTTTTTTCTTTCCTTTCTTTCTTTTTTCTTTCCTTTCTTTCTTTTTTTTTCTTTTCTTTCTTTTTTCTTTCCTTTCGGAATGTTTCGTTTTCTTTCTTTAAGCTTACTTTCTTTAGGAATATTTTTTATTTCAGCCTCGTTCATTGTTTATTTTTTTCGATTTTAGCTATCGTTCTTCATTCCTTCATTTTCTCTTTTTCTATTATTTTAGTTCTGTTCTTTTCTTTTTTTTTAATTTTCTATTTTAACCCCTTTCCTACCTCCCATCCTGTGATTCTTCCTTCCTTCATTCCTTTCTTCCTTCCTTGCGTTTTTCCTTTCTTCCTAAAGAAATATTTCTTTTTGTTTTCTTTATGGTAGCCTCTTTCCTTTATTTTTCTATTTTAGCTGCATTCCTTCCTCCCTAGTTTAATTCCTTCCTTCCTTTAAATGTCTCTGTCTTCATTATTTTAGCTTCGTTTTTCTTTATTTTCTTGTTTAACCTCCTTCCTACCTACCATCCTGTGATTCTACCTACCTACCTTCCTTCCTTCCTTCCTTCCTTCCTTCCTTCCTTCCTTTAAATGTTTCTATCTTCATTATTTTAGCTTCGTTTTTCTTTATTTTCTTGTTTAACTTCCTTCCTACCTCCAATTCTCCACCCGTTCATTTTTCATTCCGCTATTTTAGCATATTTGTTACATATACACATATTTTTATTCATTTTTCATGATCCACAATTTGATATTTTCATTGCTCCGTTGCAGCAACCTTCATATTTTCTCTGTATTTCTTTTTTACTTAACACTGCTCTGATTTCGCTAATACTGTCCAAAAGAATCTAACGGAGGCTTTTAGATGTCAATTCTACTTCTTTTATTATTTCATTTATCCCGTTATTCATTGAGTTCCTTTTTTATTCTATTAATTCAGATACTCATCTTTGTTTTCCCTTACATTTTATCTCGATTTTCCATTTGGCGGATGTAGCCACTCATTCCGACCCCCGCGACCAGATCTATTCAAAATATTGGCACAAGGCATTACGATTAAATGGTCCCCATGATTCATTGCTAATGGCTCGTAAATGATGGTCACACTTCTATTAAGCACTGGGAAGCTGGAACGCAAGATTCTCGTTCTTCACATTGTAAGATTGCAAGGAGTTAGAGGCTGGGTGAAAAGTGCCAAAAAGCAAATAAATAAAAACGAAAATAGGAAGTGAAAACAGTAGAGACTAAAGTGAATGGGCAGAAAGAAAGAAAGAAAGAAAGAAAGAAAGAAAGATGTTGAAATGGTAAGAAAAGAAAAGCGGGACAAAACAAGCCAACAAAGAAAGATAGGAGAGATGCGGAAGACACCTAGCAAACTGGGGCAAAATGGCGACGTTGAATGGTAGAAATATGTGAACAATGAAATATTCAGACGACATACTAAAGAAACCAGGATTTATTCAAAGACTAGAACTATTTTAAGGCAAATAGAAAATGCAAAGAAACTTATACTCACAATCGGAAAGAGACACTTGAAATTTGGGTTGTATACTGAAGAAAGAGTACCATGTGAATCTAACACTCACAGGACATATTGATGAAAGAGAATCAAGGTGAAACAGCGAGTAATATACTTTAAGAACTGGTATAAATAGATGGCGGACAAGAGACAAAATATAGCAAACTTTAGACATTGGAGTAGAAAAAAAACAGGACGGCTGATGAAAACCTGCGTTTTTAAGTAACATGGTGCATTAAAGATGAAAAATGACAATTTTGCCGTTATCATAATCAAGAATTACCTGTATTTTGACTTTTTGCATAGTTGCATTTATCTGTTTATTTCTCTCTATATCTATCTATCTCTCCCTCTTCCCCCGTCTCTACTATTTATTTTAAGTAAATTCCTTTCATATTGTCGAATAAGCGTTTTAACATTATTACTGAAACACGAAAGAAAATCATCATGATTGTACTTGTTTTATTGTTTATCCTGTCTAAGCTTTCGGCTTACATAAGCCATCATCAGAGATTACAATACATTACAATAAATTAAATAATAAATTAAATAACAAAGATGATAACATTTGTTTTAGATTGGTTATGCGGACATTGCAACAATAAACAACAATAAACATGTATCATCATGGTGATTTTCTTTCGTGTTACAGTGATATTGCTAAAAAGCTTACTCGACAATATCAAAAGAATTTATTTAAAATAAATAGACAAAACGTGGCCATATTATTTAACGAAAGATGCATTAATATATATATATATATATATATATATATATATATATATATATATATATATATATACACATTTGTAGTGCAAATTAAAGTTTCATGGTTTCCAAAATCGTCAGGCATTAATGGCGAATGAATCACTTAATACAGTTACTTTTTTTAAAAAAATACTTGGTCTCATGGGAAAAATTATACGTAGGTTTAATTTCAAAGTTAATATAAACTTAATATATTATTGAGTGTAAATTCAAAATATAGAATGTAGGTAGGGAGATATTGGGAAAACAATGAAAAAAATGATACATGTTTAAAGTTTATATGGTACAGGTTTTTCCGTTGGGAAAAAAAGGAGGATGTAAGTAAAAAATTATAAATCGTAAGGATTAAGCAATATAAATAAGAAAAAAATAAAGAAAAAATAAAAAGGAGTGAAATGTATCATTGTTTATAAATAACCAGTATGTCACATATATATATATATATATATATATATATATATATATATATATATATATATAGAGAGAGAGAGAGAGAGAGATAGATAGATAGATAGATAGATAGATAGATAGATAGGAGTGGTGGCACGGTGGAGTAATGAATAGGGACACGGATTGAGGAATCGGAGAGACGAGAGTCGAATCCATTACATTCACTTACGTGCTAATACTTTGCGAAAGATATGAATCATCTTCTTCTCTCCCCAGCTATAGGATTTTGTAGCCTTGAGTGGCAACTGATCTAAGTGAAAAAACAACTCTAAATTCAAAATCTGCGGATGTTTCTGCACAAAACCATAACCACTATAGTCGCATCATATGTGAAGGTTTATGGCTGTCGGTCCCTAGAAACTGAGTTGCTTGACCCCCATAAGTCGATAAACGACGGTAGAGTCCAGCATGTATAAATGTCGCCGTATCTTATGTTTATTTTCAATTCACTTACCGTCATATATATATATATATATATATATATATATATATATATATATATATATATATATATATATATATATTGCAAATAAACATAAGATACGGCGACATACATACTATACATAGTATATATCATATATATATACAACATATATACTGATATTTTGATCTCTTCATCAGTATACATGTGGCGTGGCCCAGTGTTTAGAATGTTAATTTCCGACCATGGGAAACAAATTCAAATCTCACTATGGTCGAAAAATCAGAGAGATTGCTTCTTGATCCTATTAGGTCTAGAGGGAAGATTTCAATGTGCAGTTACATTGAGATATGCCCGTAAATCATAACATGAATTGACCCAAAACTTGTGAGTAAAAAGAAAGCACGTAGTCACAAGTTCACCCCTTATGAACAGATATAAACTCTCTAGCCTGGGTCCCTTGGAACCGGTGTAATAGTTAGCAAGTGTGTCTCGATCGTGTAGTGAGTTTGATCCTCACTACTTTCGGCCTTGTGCCACATCTAAGCTACGCTTGGAAAATCACTATAAACTCTCTACCCTTAGATGACAATCTATTCTAGATATACTGCCTAGATAATGAAACATAGAAACAAAACAAACAACATCCATTACCCAAAAACCTTGTGTTACGGAATTGTAGAAATTAAAAATTCGAATACAGAGTGAGTTTGTCAAAACCACAAAAGTACTGGACGGCTGTAACTTGCGTTCACTTAATTCCTTGTGACAATCACGAGATATTGTATAAATATGTGAATGCACATAATAATAATAATAATAATAATAATAATAATAATAATAATAATAATACACATATAGCAGCTGCAAAAACCATGAGAAAAAGGAAACAAAGGCAAATGCAATCGATCAGATACGTAAACGCTGGCAAGATAAACTTTTTCACGGTCAATACTCTACTCGTTCCAAACAAGCTGATGTAGACAAACGCCTTACACACCAGCGGCTACGTAGTGCTGCGTTAAAAGCTGAAGCCCAAGGTTTTCTACTTGCCGCACAGGACCAATGGTTGCTAAATAGAAATTACCAAACACACATGCTGAAAAATTATGTTAGACCAAAATGCATACTTTGTGATAATTATCCCGAAACAATTGATCATCTTGCAAGATATTGGCACTAACTGAATATAAAACGCCGCATGACAGAATGAGCTAATATCTGCATTAGAAAATCTGTAACTTTAACGGAAATGAAACTGCAAGAAATTGGTATGAACACCGCCCAGGCCCGGTTACAGAGACAGGTTCTATGACAAATGTAATTTATATATATATATATATATATATATATATATGTGACACCCAGGATCACAAACTCACATCAATCTAACTATATATATATATATATATATATATATATATATATATATATATATATATAAAAATACAAAAGTGTGTCTAGAATGTAGCAGGAGGAATAGTGAGACCTCAGCCAAGAGTGCTCAATAAAATCTGGTCCCTCAAAGTCCCTCATTATAATTATGATTTAAATAAAATGTAAATTAAGCAACGCATAACGTAGGATGCGACAACGGCACATCGGAGAAAAAAGAAAAAAAAAAGATGTCAATGCCATATTAAATCTTTGGGCATAGAGTGTGGAGCCGAACGATTTCAGCTAATCTATTCACCATTATCAAGGATCCTTTTAATTGAGACACTTCTTACACGCCACAATGTCCTAAAAAGAAATCACGTGTACGAATGCAAGACATATATAAAATATAATTTATATTTATATACTAAAAAGCTCGTCAGTGAAACATGTATAAATGAGGGATTGCTGTCCAAACACACACACGCACATATATATATATATATATATATATATATATATATATAGAGAGAGAGAGAGAGAGAGAGACAGACAGACAGACAGACATAGATAGATAGATAGATAGATAGATAGATAGATAGATAAAGCTTGTTATTATATACGCTATATTTATCTCTATTTCTATGCAATATATTTTTCCTCTACAGGCCTTGGTCTTCCGAGGATCTTTTAGTTAAGGAAAATGTGCCTTGCGACAGGGTTTGAATGTACGTCCCTCTCTCTCTCTCTCTCTCTATATATATATATATATATATATATATATAGACAGATAGATAGATAGATACTGAACAGACTGTGATACATACATACATAGATAGATAGATAGATAGAT